AGGAGAATGGGCGTGACTGACGTAGTGAGGGGCGACGTAGCGATGTGGTATCCTGAACAATTTTAATATTTTTAACGTTTGACAATGTATATGATAGATACATATTTTAGTTATTTTAATGTGTGAACATGGCATGCAATGAACTGGTTTGACGTGGACAAGTAAGCACCTGAAGATGGCATTATTATGCCGAAACATGTAGTGCGAGGGAAAGAAGGAGATAAATGAATGTATGCACTGCAAGACGGATTAAATAAATCATGGACTTGAATCAGTGCAACAGGACGCTAAAATATAACAACATAAACGATTGAACCTTTAAAGCCAAGTGGCTCTACATACCCTACTTACTTTGTCACACTTAAATTCTTCATTCTACAAACAGTGTGCATTTGTGTGTTTCGAATTGTTCTCCGTATGATTTGATTTCTTCCTTAAATAGTGTTGACCGATTTATCTTTTTAGGGAGAAGTAACGTAATTCCCATTGGATATGAACAGAAATTTATATATTTTTTAGAAGAAATTTAATCTGTAAATCCTTAACTGATTTATGATATTGCTTTCCTCAGGCGACTTCTTCTCTGAGAACAGCTAGATATCAGGCGAATGACAAATGTCTCACTCAAGTGATAAGGTCCTTCAAAATCAACCCGTAGCAAAGAGAGCAAAGCAGGCCGAAATCCGTTCGCCGGGCCCACAACCCCACGACATTATCTCTCTGCCGAGACCAGCAGAGAGATCATTGCGATACTGAACTCTGTGCTAGGACTGTCAGCTTCTAGCGGGAGAACATTTTTAGGGGACTCTCCGTGATTTTAGTCTGCAAGAGAACTATACCGACAGAGCGACCGCCGCTTGTCGGTGAAGTTTAGTGCCAATTTTGCGGGTAGAGGTTGTCGCGTGGTCAGCGCAACGAATCCCCACGTCCGTTAATTTCGGTGTTCTAGACCGGAGCCGCTATTTCCTTGAAATAGCTCCTCAATTATCATCACGAGGCTGAGTGGACCCCCTTCCAGGCCTATACCTTCTCAGGAACAAATGTTGTAGCGCCGGTAATCGAACCCGGACCTCTGGATCTGTAGCCAGGAACGCTGACCACTAAACCACAGAGGTGGCTTTAGGGGACTCTAGCGAGCGGAATTTCCTTTCGAACTTCACTCCGCATCTACCCATCCGCATACAGGTACTCGAACGCGTGTCCTTAGGACTTGGTAGTAAAGACAGAATCTCATCATCTTTGCCAGGTATGTAAATATGGCCGTCCAGAGAGAAGACTCTCACTTAACTGACTGAGTTACTCCGACAGGTATATTTTGATCTATCAGAGAGCATAAAGATGGATTTTAATCAAAATTCGATATATCGCGGCGATACTGAGACACTGGGGCATGTTAATAACGCTATGCGTGTATATGTTGAATTCGGGGCTCCTACAGAACAGTATGATCTTGTGGTTTGTAATGCAGTGTAACCTGGAAAATTCCAGACGTCTTGAATAAACATATCGCCCCCATCTTCAGGGTCGAAGAGTAAACAAAAGAAAAATTGGTTTGCGCTAAGCCATGACACCTTCTGATCAATTATATTTTTACGTCTTTTATTATCTCCGGAGCGTTCGTTAAGAGGTACAGAAAGAAACTTTTATCTAAAAATATTCTCTAGCAAGCCTCTTCGGCTTACTGTCGTTTCAACGGTCGTTTACAGATACAAGTTATTGGCCAACCCTGCTACAGCTGCATGCACAGTGTTGCAAATCATGTGTAAAAACTACACGTTGAATCGTTTTGAAACATTTTCGCGAGCATGTCTATTTTTCACATGCGCGTAGTGTGCTGGACTGCAGCCGTTAACAGAAGCTCACGAAATGGGAGAGTTCAAGCCGGGGACCTCGTCAAGTGAGATGCTCACTGGAGTGGGGAAGTGCGGGGGAAGACGGGGGAAGCAGATTGTCTATATAAAGATGAGAAAGATCTCCGTAAGGATCCAGCAACGCTTCTCCAAGTGCGGATAAGTACAGCAGAAACAGCTTCGGAACTTTTTATTTGTGTTGTTTTAATCCGTCAAAAGTTTAAATACCTTCAGGTATGTAGAATGTGAAAATACTCATATAACTTGTGATCACAGGGTCGGACACTGGAGTGTGATCCTTCAACTAAATTAATCAAATACTGGCTTCCTTATTTCAGTTTATTTAAACATATACGTAAAACTCCGGTTTTAAGAAAGGAGCATTCTTTGAAGGCCCGCTACTTTGTCAGAAATTTGTTGTGTTAACATGTCATTTCATTTGTATTTGAAGAAAACTGTTAGGGTTATGTTGTTTATGAACAACAAATATACCATAAATAATAAATTCGTATTTAAATTAAAGTATATATATATGTCTGTTCATATGTACGTGTTATTCACTGCGCAGTATATTGAAAATCAATTGGCTTCAAATGAAGATTATTAATTATAAAAACATAAAACAATTATAATTATCGAAGTAAATGGTTGATACTTTGCGCTTGGGCTACTCCTGTTTCGCTTTAGAACGTTAATTGTTTAATCGGATGTTTTTATCAATTGAGGTTAATATATATTTAATATTGATTTACAAATATTTCAAATATATTTTGTGATAAGTGACAGTGTAAAGCAAGTTTTCACCTTGACAATCTTTATCTGCTCGCATTTACGAAGCCAGACTTTAGTGGAATCTATTTTTTCAGATGTGACGCTACAAGTGACTGATAAAACACTTCCATTCAAGGGTTCACTTAATGTTTTTAGATTACACATAAACCTGTACACAGTCACTCAAGAAGTAGAAATGTGGTTAGGATTCATTTCGTGTATCTTAATCACAAAAGGTTTTACTAGGATATATTCACATTGACTTCACAACCGGAATTAAGAAAGACGGCTATAGCTTAAAAGAGAATCACGACTGACTAGCGCATCCATAAGTGAGAGCAATTAAAGAAGTGAGTATTCTGGCAACAGCTCACTTTCTTCAAAGCAAGTTAAATTATTGGACCTTGATTGTACATTGCAGCAATGAGTTTTGAATATAACGCTGGAACTACCATAAGGAATGCCTTGAAATTAGAATATAATGCTTTATATAGAAAGGGGATAACAATTTACAAATTTCAGTTAAATTGACTTCACAGACGTTTAAAATATAGGCCTACTACAGGGCAAAAACAATTTTCAGTAGAATGGTTTCTTTCAAAGAGCATAGTTTGAGCTTTTTTTAAACTGACTAATCAAAATAAAATAGAACTTTGGCTAAAAGACTGATTTGTAAGAGTGGGAATATCAATATTACAAACTCGATACTGTCGATTAACTAACGCACTTTTTGCAACTTGTGTTTATATGCGCATCTCAGCATTGGCTTTATTTTTATATAGAATAAACTTAATGGCAAAAAGCGTAAAATTATGCCTGTGCTTACTTAATTACGAGCCATGGAACGAAGACTTGTGGGGTAGTTGATAGATCAACCATTATTAACCTCGGGGCTAAGGGAAGGTGACATGTCAGCTTCACGCCCCGGCCGCTTTATCCCCGGCACCCACTATGTAGGAGGCAGGGCGGACTCCAGAGCCTATCTGAATGCTACAGTGAAGACAGAAACTTGTTGTCCTTGCCGGGAATCTCCCCCTGGCCTCTTACTCGTCCTGCCAGTAGTCTATTCACTATACTGACGAAGCTACCCGGCTAACACAGAAGACACTAGGCTAATATTAAGCCACTTGACATAAACAATAATAAAAGAAATATAAAGAAAATAATTTCCTCATTCTGTAATGATCAAATAGACAAGTCGGAGACACTAAGCCGCAAAATCAACGCTAAAAATCTCCAGATGTTAGGACAGACATGACGCTCAAGATCTCCAGATGTTAGGACAGACATGACGCTCAAGATCTCCAGATGTTAGGACAGACATGACGCTCAAGATCTCCAGATGTTAGGACAGACATGACGCTCAAGATCTCCAGATGTTAGGACAGACATGACGCTCAAGATCTCCAGATGTTAGGACAGACATGACGCTCAAGATCTCCAGATGTTAGGACAGACATGACGCTCAAGATCTCCAGATGTTAGGACAGACATGACGCTCAAGATCTCCAGATGTTAGGACAGACATGACGCTCAAGATCTCCAGATGTTAGGACAGACATGACGCTCAAGATCTCCAGATGTTAGGACAGACATGACGCTCAAGATCTCCAGATGTTAGGACAGACATGACGCTCAAGATCTCCAGATGTTAGGACAGACATGACGCTCAAGATCTCCAGATGTTAGGACAGACATGACGCTCAAGATCTCCAGATGTTAGGACAGACATGACGCTCAAGATCTCCAGATGTTAGGACAGACATGACGCTCAAGATCTCCAGATGTTAGGACAGACATGACGCTCAAGATCTCCAGATGTTAGGACAGACATGACGCTCAAGATCTCCAGATGTTAGGACAGACATGACGCTCAAGATCTCCAGATGTTAGGACAGACATGACGCTCAAGATCTCCAGATGTTAGGACAGACATGACGCTCAAGATCTCCAGATGTTAGGACAGACATGACGCTCAAGATCTCCAGATGTTAGGACAGACATGACGCTCAAGATCTCCAGATGTTAGGACAGACATGACGCTCAAGATCTCCAGATGTTAGGACAGACATGACGCTCAAGATCTCCAGATGTTAGGACAGACATGACGCTCAAGATCTCCAGATGTTAGGACAGACATGACGCTCAAGATCTCCAGATGTTAGGACAGACATGACGCTCAAGATCTCCAGATGTTAGGACAGACATGACGCTCAAGATCTCCAGATGTTAGGACAGACATGACGCTCAAGATCTCCAGATGTTAGGACAGACATGACGCTCAAGATCTCCAGATGTTAGGACAGACATGACGCTCAAGATCTCCAGATGTTAGGACAGACATGACGCTCAAGATCTCCAGATGTTAGGACAGACATGACGCTCAAGATCTCCAGATGTTAGGACAGACATGACGCTCAAGATCTCCAGATGTTAGGACAGACATGACGCTCAAGATCTCCAGATGTTAGGACAGACATGACGCTCAAGATCTCCAGATGTTAGGACAGACATGACGCTCAAGATCTCCAGATGTTAGGACAGACATGACGCTCAAGATCTCCAGATGTTAGGACAGACATGACGCTCAAGATCTCNCGGAGTCATCTTCCCTAAACACATTGGCCGCAAGTTCACTGCGAAGTTGAAACCTAAGTATCAGACTACGAGATGTAGTCTGATACTTAGGTTTGTAATTGTTTGTAATCGTAATAATCACATTCAAGTACAAGTTATGTATTGTCAGCTTACACCTGGCAGCAAATGTGTGTTACATCATGGAAACTGTGAAGTCAGTAACTCTGTTTGCATTTGCAAGTCTGTGGATTGGCGTTGTGACACAGTTAACAAATCTTCTTACTGAGGTGTTACTCCATGTATAACTCGTAATGAATTAGCAACAGTTGCTCTTGGGCTGGTCATGTGTCTCAGGACAGATACACACACCAACAGCGCATGTCACATATCTGCCTTCTCTTCATATCAGAAAAATATAACGCATATGTGCATACATTCATACTACGTACAAAATTAGTGTACATCAACCGGGGCACGCGGTAGCGTAGTTGGTTGAGGCACTATGCTACAAGCCGGAAGGTCGTGGGTTCGAGTCCCAATGAGGTCATTGAATTTATTCAATTTATCTAATCCTTCCAGCCGCAACATGGCCGTGGGGTCACCTCAGCCTCTAACAGAAATGAGTACCAGGAATATTCCTGGGGGTAAAGAGCAACCAGTGCGTAAGGCTGACAACATCACAGCCATCTGTGAGCCGATTATCTAGGAAATGTGGGAGCCTCAAAATCTCACAACTCTATGGGTTTCCGCGGTCTGTTTTTTTTCCTTGGCACTACAGCCCCAGTGGGCCTAGGTCTACCTCCATGAACTTTCCGCGGTCTGTTACAGGTATACTTTTACTTAGTTTACACCAACCTTAATTTTAAGTGAGCTAATATCAAAGACTCAAGAAAAATTATTCCAAGAAAATGTATATTTAATAAATTTCTGTTAACTTGCCGCTTAAAAAATGCATTGGTATTATAACGGGTGAACGTTAAGTTTCTATATAATGTTACTACTGTTCTCATGGGGCACAATGTTTCTTTAGGGGCTGACAGTGGCACAAATGGTAAAAAAAAAAATCCGGTCTCTTGTGGAACCCAAAATTTCATTACGACGTTCCAAACAGCCCGCACTAACTCTGCACCCGGTCACGAGCCAGATGAATCCAACGCACGATCACTCATCTCACAATGCTTGAAACATATACCACCTACCTCAAATTCTATAATTAAGTTCACGTTATGTAGCTTCCACTTCTGCATCCTACTGCAACCTCCTCTCCTGAACATCCAAGTGTTTGCTTCAGCCACTCTCTCTGACCCTCATTTAACCCCCATACAAAACAACGGGCAATAAACGTATTTTTTTAAGTACAAATTATGAGATAAGAGCCGGAAAGAAGACCCCAAGAACTCTCTGCTGAATCCTACCGAACATTTCACGAATGTAAACTACTTCGGATTTCTTCCAGGATACAGTCTTGATTAGTTGTTGATGTCCCCCTGTATCTGAAATCAATCTCTTGTTCTAAACTCTTGGCTTACGCATAACAGTTTCTGAGAATTATTCTTTACCACAAACATCTCAGTTCAAGGAGGATGAGGTGGCACGGCATGTAGCACGAATGGGGGAGACGAGGAATTCATGTAGGATATTGGTTGGAAAACCAGAAGGAAAGAAACCATTGGGAAGACCAAGGCGTAGGTATGTGGACAATATTAAAATGGATCTGAGAGAGATAGGATGGAATGGTATGGATTGGATTGATCTGGCTCAGGATATGGCCCAGTGGAGGGCTCTTGTAAACACGATAATGAACCTTCTGGTTCAATAAAATGCTGAGAAATTCTTGAGTAGCTGCAGAATTGGCGGCTCCTCAAGAATGGTTCAGCTCCATTTGT